AAGAGTCCTTTGTACCCACCAGTGGAGCATCGTCTCAGTGGGCATAGGGAGGCTTCCTGCACAGCTTTTTATCCTGTATCAATGAAAATGGCAGGGAACATAGGGCTGTTTTCAGTGTCTGTTCCTGAACTGGAAGAGCTGGCCATAAGGTGATTCCACACACCCCTCCCTAAATACTAATTTAATGAAGTAGCCTTGTACAGGCCTCCTACCCCTAATCATAAGTCTGACAGTTTTTAAGTAAGTGTTGTCGTTGTCGTTCCCCTCCCCCCGCAAGTGTGTGTGTGGTGCTGTTGTGTTGCTAGGAGGAAAATCACATTGGGTAGTCCATTTCCATCAAAAGAGCTGGCCCTTGGCCTTCTGCCAACATGTTTGTGAATAAAGTCAAGTTGTAGAGGACAATACAAGATGGCTGTCTTGAGGGATAGCAAAGCATTCCAGCTCAGGTTGCCCAAAGGAATTGGGGAGAGCCACTCAGAACAGGCTGAATCTGCCCTGCCTCTGGAGGTGAAAACTGTTCCGTCTTACTACTTGTTGCATGTAATTTCATTCCCCTCAAACCCCCTTTGCCATGTTCTGCAGTGAAAGAAGGCAGGTGAAGGGACTGCATTTGGGGAAAATGATGGGGTGGGTGGGGAGAGTCTCTTGCCATTAAAGTCTTCTGCCTCATGGTTCTGGGTGGGGCAGTAACTGGGTCCTCCCAAATGTTTTCCTGTTTCCCAGAGTTGGCCCGTCTCCTTTCGACTTGTAATGCCCCAGGCATTACTGTACTCCCTATTGCATTGTCCCAAAGCTGACCTTTTCCTTCAGTGGTTAAATCAGCCTCCTCTCCCAATTCTCTATTTGTGCTTGAGCCAAATACCACAACAGAGGTCAGAAAACAGAAATGAAACGTGGTAAAGGACTGCAGCAGGAAGCTTTCTGAGGCATCTAGATGATACTCGGAAGCCTAGTCAGTATAGATTTTAAAGGTATTTTAATTATTCTTCTGCCCACACAAACGAGAGTAGTGGGGTGGGGGGAAGCAGATATTTAATTGACAGCAAATACCTTTCGTTTTTAGTTGGAATTTCGGCTGTGGATGTGGTATTCTCACACTTGACCTGAGGTTGCTTGTTCTTACATTACTGCAGAATGATACAGTGATATGAAGATGCTTTGCATGCAGGTGGTGCCAGGCATTGCTAGTTAAATGATCTTGGTTAATAGGTAGTTGGAAAGGCTTTTTGGCATGAGAAAACCTGGGAAGCCACTGCTGGTGAGAGTAGATAGTATTGGGCTGGATGAACCAAAGCTCTGACTCAGTATGAGGTAATTTCATACAAATATGAGTCACTGTGATTAATTCTATGGGATATGCTGGCATCAGGGTGGCACAGGGGTCTCTTTAGTTGATAGTAACCATTTTTGTCATCCTGGGAGACAGGGGGGGAAATTGGCCCTTTACAATGTCAACACTGGCCATAATCTCTTCCTTGGTGGAAGGAATTATGGGATTCTGGGTGTTACTTTATTTCCTTCAAAAACGAGGCGTCTGCCTATCCCAAAGTGGCAGTTTGAAAAAGGAGACAGGAAGTACTTTAATGGAGTTTAGAACTGGGTCAATCTGTGAGGGGAAGTTTTTGCAAAAAGCTTTTACTCCCATGGGCTATAAAATGGGGTTATGGTATTTGGAACATGGGCAGCAAACACCGGGCTTGCTCTTTTGCTTTGTGGCATCACTGTGTGTTGTCATCTCACTGCCTCTCTGATTGTCTGTGATTGCATTAAGGACCCCCCCCTCACTGTTTGCTTGTTTAGTACATGGCGCTGAAGCTGCCCTGTGTGGAAATAAGTCACAGTGAGCAAGGAAAGGGGAGGAGGTTGTGAAACCTCTTGCACTTGTATAATGTCCCTCTCCCAAGACAATTTTTATGAGCAAAAAAAAAAAATCGGTTCACTTTGCTTTCATTGTCTTTGTTTTTCGAAAGCTAGGGGAGAACACACCTGGCTTATATCATGCTGGTGTCTGCATTTGAATCCTGACATCCTTGCTTATGGTTATGAGAAGCCTCTCTCTGGCAGTGGCTTGCAGGAGCAGTTTTGTGTTGCAAGCTGAAGAAGATCTTAACTGGGTGATTTTTGGGTAGTCAGAATGCATTGTACCCTGGCAGCCTAGGCTAGCCTGATCTCATCAGAAGCTAAGCAGAGTCAGCCCTGGTTGGTATTTGGATGGGAGACCACCAAGGAAGTCCAGGGTTACTATGCAGAGGCAGGCAATGGCGAACCACCTCTGATAATGTTGCCTGGCCATAAGTCAGCTGCAGCTTTGATGGCTCTTTCCACCACCAGAATGCATTGCAGAGAAGGGCGGAAGGAAAGATCAGAGGAAGTCTGAGCTTGGGGGGGGGGAAGGTTATACAGACATCAAATAAGGGAGTAAAGCTAAATAAAAATTCGGTATCCTTTGCATGAACTTGCCATCCACACATGAAGGGGAAGTAAAAGCAAATCTCCTTCTCAGCAGCATGGCTTTTAGCCTTCAAACAGGTCTCAAGATCTCATTCGTTTTATTTTTCTCCTGACTCTAGCACTAAGCAGCTTGCAGTGAGGCTTCCTGAGGACAGAATTCGTCTGACAACGGACATTGCTGATGAGGGCTGAGGCAGACAACATTTAGCTCTCCCTGCTCTCCTTCAGTTGTCATTGCTCTGCGGTTTCAGTTTGGGCTCTGGCAGCAGGACTAGCAGACGCCCACGGCTGCTGCGTTACATCCAGGCAGGCAGCAGCCGTGTGCACTCCTACTGGAGTTGGGAGGGCACTTATGGAGGGTCGTGCAGTCAGCTGTCTGGCCCCAAAGATAGCTTGTGTTAGGGTGACTGCCCGCAAGAGAACCAGGATCCTGTATCTGTACTACTTGTACAGGGAGAAAATCCGCCCTCCACACATATGCATTTTGACAGATGCAGGCTTTCTTACTTGGAAGAAAAGGCCGGCTGGGTCAGATCAAAGACTCATCCAGTCCAACCCAGCATACTCCTGTGACAGCAGCTTCTGAAACACACACAAGCAGGATGTGAAGGTTGTTAGTATTCTCGATATGTTTTTATCCATATACATGGTACTTCAGAGGTTTTTTTAAAAAAATAAATAAATAAAATACATTCCTCTGCCCCCAAAGAGGAAGAAACTTGGGATGTAGGGATGGGTGTAATGTGTAAGTGTTATGACTGTGCCTCTGATATTTAAAGGTATACTGCCTCTGTATGTGGAGGCTCTGTTTTAGTTATCATGGCTGCCGAGAGGCCCCAGACTTGTCTAATCCTGCAAGACTGAGACATTAGAATCTGCAGCTGCTGCAAAGTCCCCCCCTGTACAACTGTATGGAGACATCTGTAGTGGGATAAATTTGGAAACCTTAGTTATGTGGTGTTCAAAATGTCCACAAGCCAGTAGAACTTGATTGTGAATTCCTATAAATGGGAAGAGGGGGGCAAGAGGAGGTTGCTGCACCCATTCCCCTTTCCCTGTGCCGAAGTAAAACACTTTTCACCAGTTTCTTTTCCCCCCCTGATGGCAGTGACAAGAGGAGGGTATTTCTTCTGGTCTGTGAGCCCTACTGGGAGAAAAAGCTGGAGGGGATTTCTGGAGGGGAGAAGGAAGCATGGATGGAGAAAGGAGAAGGGCTCAGAACCCCCTTCAAGCAGACTTTAAATTCCCTCCATCCAGTGGCCATCTGATTCTGGCACATGGCTCTGCCTCCATTGCACCTACTTTGGAGCTTCATTTTTAGTTGAAAATTAATGGACCATCTGTCTGGGAAGTATCCTCCAGCTTAGTTTTCACTGAAGTGGTCAACCTGTGTTTGAGCAGTGCCCTTGGGAGTGCAGGTGGGAGCTACACAAGTGATCTTCCACTAAAAAGCACCCCCTGCATTGAAAACTACTATGGTAAAAAGACTAGGCTGGAGCTCTTGTTTCTGAATTGGAATATTTTACTTGTTGGGAGGCTTTCTAAACCTCAATTATTAAATAGTATTTCTGTAGCCAAATTGTAGTATGCATTACGCTTGTGCAAATGAACAGAAACCTAAAATTTGTAGTGTTTCAGTTGTCATGCCAGGTTACTATAATTCCAGGGTTTGTTGAAGTGCTGACTTCCTCCCCCGTACACAACTGCAAACTACTGTTTCAGAACAGGAATTCTGGAGAATTAAGTGCCACGTTTCTCCAGGAGCCCAGTGAGGCTTCTTCTTGCCAGATTCGCTTGGCACTGTAAAAGTGATGTGCAGATTGGTTCTGCCCACATTAACAAAAGTGTGCAAAGTAGGTGCAGTCGTTTAGCTTGTTGTGTATTGTGTCAAATGAGCTGCCTGCACTTTCCCAGGGTGGGAGGTGAGAGGGCAGGAATCTCCAGTATATTTGTGGATTTGTGTTAGGTACTGGTACTCTGCATAATGTCATTCCCAAGATTCAACTACTTTCTGGATTTTTAAAAAACCTTGCTTGGCAGAATTTTTTTAGAATCACAGTTTCACAGCGAGACAGACCGGGTTTGTGAGCACAATCTGCCTGTACAACGATTTGGCAGGTAACCCTTGGCAATTGGTACATATTTTGCAGTAGCAGTGCTGTAGCACTTAGGTGCTCTATTATTTCAGTTAAATGGGCTTGTGTCATCCTCTGCCTCCTTGGTATAGTTGGTGCTGCCCATGTTGACTAGCACCTTATTCAGCTGCAAAGCCCTATAGCCTTCCCTGGTTATTCCCGGTGAGTCACTCGGAGAGGGAACAGCCCACACGGTTTTTTTGGCATAACTGTGCTCCTCCATTACTGCTGCAGCATTGCTGCCTGTGGTGGCCAGCCACTGTGTGTCCAAATGGTCCCCGGTGCCTAAAATGAGGCTGAATGTGAGTGCGTATGTGAGCATATGTGTAATCTGATCTGTTGTCAAATGTCTTGCAGAAGGCTGTAAGCTGTGTCAATAAGATCTCTGTTCAGCTCTGAAAACAGCCTCATGATCCAGGGCCGATTGGCAGCCTTCCTAAGGGAGGGCAGTCTCTCTCGCGCTCTCATTCTCCCCCTCCTCTTTTTCTTTTTCTTAAAAAAAGGAGAAAGAGTTGGAGGTTTTGGCGGCACCTTCTCTGACTCGGCTGCCTTTTGCCGAGTGCTGTTTATTGTTCTTTCCTCGGTGTGAAAAAAAGCCCATCCTCCTTCCCCCTGACCCCCAGCAAGAACCTGGCAGTACATGGAGACAGTCGGAACCTTTGGGCAGTGCCGCCAACATGAGCTGAAAGGAGTGTCTCTTACCTGGTGAGGCAAACCTCTGAGCCGCTGCTCTTTTAAGAAGTGAGAAGATGGCAGAGTTTAGACGGACGAGGTAGGAGTCGGACATTTTTCTCTCTCTCCCTCCATGCTGAGAGCGCGAGCATGTGTGCGCAGGCGAGTCTGAGACAAAAAAAAATGTTGTATGTGAGTCCCCTGTATAAAATATGTAGGCTGTACTGTAAGGTTGTGCAGAAGGAAGGGGGATGTCTGACCTGTGTCACAGGATGGGTAGGAGGGGACGTATGGAGTAGAAGACAGGGGAACCTCCACTTCAGAGCCGTTTGTGAGAGCATTTGCTTTAAGGCTTAGAGAACTGTAATGCAATTCCAAAGGCGGGAATTTCTGTTGGAGCTTCCCTCCAAAGTTTTCTCCTCCCCAAATTATTTATTCCCTGCTCTTGGGAAAAGCCGGAGTGAAATTCCTAAGGAATTTACTACCAGCAGATTTTGGACTGTTTTGGGGAGGGGTGGGGGAAACCCATCAGCTTTTGCTGAGCAGTGCTGGGTAGTGTCAGAACAAAGGCAGGCAATGGCAGGAAATGCCGGTTTCCCCACTCTGGTTCCTAACGCGAGAGGCCTGGACTGGGTAATTTCTTTTTACTTCCTGTTCTCAAGCTGTTTGGGCCAAAGTAGCCGTGTTTTTCCATGCCGGGAATCTGTCAGCTTGATTCTTTTCCTGCAGAACATAACTCTGACCCAGGTACCGTGTGTTCCTTGTTTATTATTTTTTAAAGGAATGTCCTGGATTTTAATTTGGAACAGGGAGATTACAGGGGTATTTTTTTCCCATCACACCCTGCTTGTACATACCTGGGTGGAATTATGGTAAACAAAGAGCACAACCATTTGTATCAAATGCTTAATGATGTCAGATTGCACAAGAGTTATTTATGTATACTAATTTTTTTAATGCATGGACATTTTTGAGCAGTAATTCTGTAAAAATAAAGTTTTGTGACATGAAAAGGTGTGTCGGGGGCATAACACACAAAATGCAAAACAAAGTATACTGAATCGGTAGCTGCAGAACACTAGATTCCTTCTCAATGAAATTAATATGTGAAGGGTATTTAACACAAATATTGGCCATTAGGATTTACTGGTCCTTTAAAAGTTGCAAAGGACGCTGGACAGTTCTAAAGGAGCAGGCAGACACACATAGTGGGGAGAATTTCTACTTTGGATGCCTGTAACAGCTTTGTAGTGGGCCCTCATTCAGCAGGTAAAATGGTTACCATGCTGGGAAAATTGTCACCTGTTGATGTCTGCCCACAACCTTGCCATCAGAGCATTTTCACTAGTGGTGCTTTTGTTGTGCTCGTGTGTGAGTGGCTGCAGTGTGTTATAGAATAGTTCAGGGCTATGGGACAAAAATGTACTTGCATGTGCTACCTGTCAAGTACATTGCTGGCTTTCCATCCATGATTATTGCTGTGGAGTAATACCTGTTTTGGACCAAGCAAGCTAGGAAGGGTTCTCTTAGAACTACTCCTTTCTTTTTTTTTGCCAGAGAGAGTTCTTGCTTTGCAGGCTATCCTCCCTGGGATAGGTAAATCTTCAAAGCACTAAACCAAGCTATTCCTGAGACGTTATTATGTGATGTCAAGGGAGAAACAAAACCCTATTTGAGTGCCCCATGGATTGCAGAGAAATAGATTTCAACATAGCAGTCAAGTTGCATCATAAACTGTGAAGGTTCAAATTGCAGATTCGCTTAGTTGACAAAGCTTTCTTGCAATGTGGAGCGCAGTCCTTTGGCTTGTTTTTGGTGTTTCTTTTAATTACTTTTTGCCCTCAGAATTTGACTGAGCACCAAGGGACAGGCACCCAAGGAGAAAGAGAAGGGTGATTTGGAAATTCATCCCTGTAAGAAGAGGGTTGTAATTAACGAGAACTTGGCATCTTGCCTTAGATGATAAGACAGATCAAATGCCGAGTACGAAATCAAAACCATTCCTTTGGTCAGAGCAAATTAGGTATTGTGTCTGATTCTACCCATGGCCCTGGGCTGTTTCGATGCCCAAGCACGGTGCACAGCAAAGACACAGGAGGAGAGGGAATGTGCAAAAATCTTAAAACATTGAAGGGTTTTATTTCTATGACTGATTAATCTTCCCCCTGTTGGTGAGAGCATTCCGTCTTTGCAGGATTAGAAATCAAACTGGGATTTCTGCTACAGGAAGATGCATGATTGGTCTTCCCAACTCAAATTGGTTTCACAAAGTTCTCTTACGTGAAAGTGCATTGTGTTTTTGGAGATCGGTCGTGCCGTACTCCAGAATTTACACAAGGTTTCCCCTTATCCTTGCTGGGATGTGAAAAGGCATGGAGGCTCTTTTCGCCATCCTCCTGTGGCCCCAAGACCTGAAGTCAGCAGAAGGTAGATGGTGGTCGACCGCTCAGATCAGAAGGGGTGCCTGCTGGTTGCTGAGGTTCTTGTAAGGAATGCTGGAATAAGTGCATCTTGGTCTGATCCAGCCACAGAAAGAATACCACTCCCCCCCCCAATTCCTTTTAGGGCCCCCAGCTTGTTTCCTCTATACCCTCAATCATGGTGCTTGCTATCACAAATAGGGCCACACAGACAGGTGGGGTTTCTCTGAACTTGGGTCTCCCTGGGTAGGCAGAAAACTATTAGTTTTAAGTGTAAGTTTCCCCTACCTGCCTGATGCGAACTGAGCGTGTTTGTTGGCCTCAAAATACTGAGTGCAATTAAGAAACAGAGGAAGACGCTGTTCTCCCTGATTCCATCCAGGCACCTAACATGCAGAGGTTGCACTTAAAAGGAAAGTAGAGCATTGAAATCAGAAGCCTCTTCCGTGTTCTCACAGAGACCACAGGCATCCGTCTAGGGGAGCCAGTTTTCAAGTGGCTGCTGTAGCTGTCCCTTTAACAGCTTCTTCGCATGTAGCAATTATCAGGTGGCCACGTTTATTATCTCCCTGCCCTGAATCCTTGCCCTCCCCTCAGCTAATTCTTCCAGACAAAGCTGCCATTTAAGTCATGGCTGCAGAGGCAGGTTCAAAATCTGGCCATCTCCCACCTTTTCTTTAGGGTTCCCCCCCCAAATGAGCAGGTATACCAGCCTGCCGCTTTATCTTCACAATGACCTTGCAGGGTGGGTAGGCCAAGAATTTTTACTGTCCTCAGCTGCTTATTCCCAAGAGGCTTGGCCTCTGGTAGTTGTGTGGCAGGTGGAAATTGAACGGGAGAATATCTGCTGTTCTTGCCATCGTTAAAAGGTACAGAACCTCTCTCGGTGTTTTTTAAAAAGTGTTTTAACTTACTGGAGGACGATCCTCTTTTCCTCCACCCCCTTTCCACAGGGCACTTTATGCAGCTACTCTGTTCATGGAAATCTTTTATGTATATATTTTAATGAAGCAAGTCACCTTGAGCAATTCCAGAAAGGTGAATTGAAACTATTTTAAATAAAGCAGTGCTTGCCATGGGCCAATATCTGTATACAGCTTTGTTCCTTCACGTGATCTTCTGGAAGAAATGAGCTCTTCAGTTTTGCCAAAATAGGACTGCCAACTCTTTTTACTGGCCTCTGCTCCTGTGCTTTTAACAGTAGCTTGAAGTGCAGAGGAGCACAGATGATTGTGTTCATCTCGCTAGCTAATGTCTGCAAATGTAGATGGCAGCCCAGCTTCTTAAAGAGAACAACGGCTTGCTGTCTAGAGCAAGAAACAGAAGTAAGCTCTTGGAAGATTCCCCCACAAAAGGCACTCCTGTATTTTACAAGAAAACTCCAAACTCTGCAAAGTTAGTCTTTGGCAAGCTTGCACTTCCTTTATCTTAACTGAATTTGAATACATTTAAAGAATCACCAGAATTAGATTCTTTGGAGTTGCTAAATTAGTGTTTGTACACTGAGTGATAAAAGTGTGTCTCGCAGTCAGAGGGCCAGAGAAGCCTTCGTAGGAGCCAGTGTGTGTTCGCTGCCCTCGAGGTAAAGGATTAAGCTCTCGAGGTCAGGTCTAGACCGAGCAGTAGCCTGTGGAATCCAGCCAAAGGGTAAGACAGACGTGGCAGTCCTGTTGACTTAGCTGAGATACAGCTGACATCTGTACGTCAAGTTTGATTAAAAGAGAACAAAAATGTGGACGGGAGAATAGCTAGCTCTGTAGAACAAAGATAGCTACATGAAAGAGGGTGAGAGAACGTCCCGAGCCTGGCTAGGAATCAGGGACTTCCCCCAGTGACTCTGATGTACCCTGATCCTTCTGAGCTTCCCAGTGCCTACAGCTGAGGCTGACTTTTCTCTGTCAGTTCCCACCCCCTCGATTGGAAAGACGACTTCCCACCCACCTAACATTAAAAAAAGTCCAGATTCCAATTTCCCACACTCTGCATTTGGCACTTATGTGTCAGGCCCTGGAAGCTGAAAACAAAAGCCTCAGGTTTCATAAACCATCACATGGATGACTCGCTGGGCATAAATCCATGGATCCACACTAGACATGTGCTTGCTGCTAGGTGCATTGTGAACAGGCAGAGGGGCAGGTTGGGGGTCAGTGTGGGTTGCCAGTGCATGCAGCTGTTGTGGGGGGGGGTGTCATGTGCAGATCTGTGCCATCTTCTCCCCTTCACAAGAGCTGCTTAGGTGCAACTTCTGAAACAGCGGCTACAAGACTGAGCCAGGTTTGACTGTCGCCTCCGCCACAATCTCTGTAGGTAGCCTTTGACATGTCTCTTTCTGCATCTCCCTCAGTCCCTTACCTACAACATGGGGTTCTAATAGTGACCTACCTTAAGTTGGTTGTCAAAAAAATGAAGATAATGAACATGGCATGTTTTGAATCCTCTGAAGCCAGGATGCGTTGGCCTTCTCAGGTCATTGTAATAAATGGGATTATATTGTAAATCTGTTTTATATGGGGCCATATTCCAGCAGTCAGTCTAAAATCGTATTGCACTTGCCTTATATGTACTCTGTGTACTTAATACAAACTGCTACAAAGCATATTCCTACCCACAAAAGCCATGACCAACTCCCTCCTATGTATTAATCTTTTTTCATTTTATATTCAAAAGCAGTTTAATACAA